ATATCCACTTTATGACTTCGCAGCCGGTAGGAATGAAGAATAAGAATTATCATCTAAAATTGGGTTCTCAAGGATAAAAGCTCGATGAAATATTTTTTCACTTCCTTTCTGGTTGCTTTTTCGTACATTTTCGTTGTCTCTATTTTAGACCACTTCGTTTACTGAATATGGGTGATGCAGATTTCAGTACAGCCGATGTAAGTTTCCCGTTCAGTACGCGTCATGTTTGCATAATCTATATTACTGTTATACTTAATCACGCTTTCTATTTGATATACCGTTTCTGTCTTATTTTTACAGCCGTTTGACAAATGTGATCAACTTTGGGTACTTTGTTTTGAACTGGACAAATTAATTTGTTTTCTTGTTTAATAATTGTTCATTTTTTCCTCCTGTCGAGCTAGTTTTTCTTTTACATTGATTTGTTCATTCACTCCGTCCTCAGTTGACGAACATCTGAATCTCTCTGTTTGTTTTCTGTTGGTCTTTCACAGCTGCTAGAAGACGAAGAAGAACATGATAATCCATCAGACCGGGGTAAAAAGCGAATGTTCTCCCGTGAAAGTAAGTCACTCGGTATCAGCATCATGATGAGACTACACCTTGATGTGGTATAATGGTTTGTGCCCCTCTGTGACCCAACTGCTACGCAGGATAGTATATGTTACGCGAATGACCTAATTGTGCCTGGTAGTCCACAGGGTAGAGGTCAGACAAAATCCAGTCACCTAGTCCTCCAGGTTGAGGGTTCAACTTGAGTTGGCGTTGCAGGTGGGAATAATTATTGGAGGAGTAATCGATTCAAGTAGATGAGCCTCCGCATCGCCTTATCCGCTGATTTGTCGCCAGGTTCTTGTCAGAATTAGACGCGTTGGTTACTAACCCTATTGTTTCTGCTTTATGACTGACACCCTAACAGTACTCATCCGTCAAACCCCAATGCCATACACAAACTATAACGAATTCTATGCTGTATCTGTCGTTGCCCGTGCTAGTTGAAACCGCGCTGCTCTTTTCATCGAGCGGGGTGGGTCGGAATNGGAATAAGTGGAGTACCGCTCAAACACCATTGGATTTCACATTCAATCCTCTCCTTTTGACTTTTGTTTCTACCCGTATCATTCCCTCACTCACCGAAACAGTTTATCACAAAACCAGTTGCACATTCTGAAACCTTGTCAATCAACGCGAAGACGCATTCAACTTAGAGTCCAACAAGCTCATCGGACGCGCGCACTTGACTCATTGGGGATTAATGTCTGCTGCGTGTCAGAGACACGAATTTTGGTTTCTAGGCCCCGGATTTTCTTTGAGGTACCAAGTCCACACGAAAAGTGATGACAAATCCCGTTCTGTCGGTCAACGCCCAGCAGGAGGCCTCATTTAGCGGTTGAATCTCAGATAGTAGTCATTTATGTACAATTCGCCACCTCTTTAGGAATCCATCAGCGTCCGGAGGAGAAGCAACACCAAAGAGTGTTAACTCATCATCTCAGCATACTCACCAACTATGTGCATCACCCTTTCTCAGGCGGACGACTTTTATGTCAAACTCATTAAACTGAGCTGCAGCTCTGACGACGGCTGGTTTCAACTCGCAGTTGAAAAATTACGAGCTCATCCGAAACCTGTCTAGGGGGCAATGGCGTTCGGTTCTACCCGCCCAAAGAACAGACCACAACTGCCGATTATTTCACTCCTGTGCAGATCATCGGTTGTTCTTATCCACCACCAAGTTTCGACAGAACTGTAGATAGTTATAGATTAGATTCTGGATACAGCTCTTTATTCACTTGGGGATAACGGAATCCATTGATACTCGCAGATCGCAGACTGTCTGATCTCGAGTATCCAAAAGACGTCGTACTGCTCAGTGATAATCTTGGTAAGACGAATGGCGCGTGCCCAACTGTCGTCTTTCGCACCTCGCCTTATCTGCAGTTTGCAGCACCAGGTGGCAGGAAACTGCGTGGAGGTTATCGGATGACGTGGAAACGAGGCGTGAAGAAATGTACGGAGCTATTAGGTGAAATAGATATCTCCCTCTATCCTGATGTGGTCCGAAAGAATGTGTAACTGGTGGTTTGGCGACCCAAAAGGATATGGCACGTCAGGATGCCAATATATATATATATATATACATCGTAATTTTTGTGTTGTGCATATACGTTCACTTTCTTTGCTTCCCTCGAAATAGACTCACCTGTCCATCATATAATTTCTCACCTACTTTGTGTACATTGCAAGTTTGGTGGCCGTTAGTGCAGTTCGCTTCACTGTATTTAGAATAACGGCTAGAAGAAAGAAAATTGAGAAGGGTGTCAATGATAAAATGGAGAATTCCAGTAGACCACGATTGCGAATGATTTCTATATGTTAACGTCACCCTTCACTATTGAAATTGCTCGGTTGCCGAACCATGAAGAGTTCCGGTTGTCTTCTAATATTTCGCCACACCTTAGGGAGAATGAGTGCGAGTGACAGACGTTTGTCTTCCTTTATTTTACGTCAACCATGGTCAATCTAACTGTTTTTGGTAACTATCATCTCACCATGGAAAATGTATAAGAACAAGCTTCCGTGTCTTGCAAACGCATTTTCAAACGTTTTTTACCTTTATCTCATTGTCCTTTCAATTCGTTTTGTTGCATACTTTATAATATGAAGAATATTCACGAGAATGCGGGTGATCTGTTCAAGTTTGTTTACAATCCCCTGATCCACTGAATGCCATTCCTATGTTTATCCACGATCACCGACTTGAGTACAAGCATAGCGCCAACAATAATAACGGAAACCGGATGGGTGGATTGGGATACAGAAAGAAGTGTAAAGAAAACGAAATAGTTACAACGGATAACAGGAATAACAATTTTTGTGTGTTTCACCGTACACTTTTTGATATTTTCTGCTTGCCAGTGTATCGTTCTACTTACGGGGCTGGGGTTTCAACAGGCAGACCGTACAGCATTTGCGCCACTGACTTCTTTTCTGGGGACACAATCGGTAGCATATAGCTCTGTTCTCTCGAGGATGAATTGTATTCTTACCCCTTAACTATTTAATACCCCACCCTACTGATTGTTGGCGTCTGGTCACCATGGCCATACTCAGTCGTGTGTAGCAACCTTCGCTTACGTATTGGGTTCGGCAACAGATGTTTTCTGTTGTGCTGGAATACTCGAGTAAAATTTTTGGATCCGCTAGTTGATAGCACTAGTCACAACGGTAAGGATCTGGTTTACACGTTGATTCGCACGCGCATGCAGTACTGTGACGCGAGCACTATTCGCTCCTCATGCATCGATCCTCTCGATAAACCATGATTTGCAGAACATCTACAATTACCAAAATGATTGGGTCAATTTCGGATGTGGGGTTCCAGATGTTATCTGTGCTTATCTGCGTGTAACGCAAGTTCCGGCGTTGACTCTCAAAGGTAGTGGCTGTAGTGCCTAGTTGGACGAGCTCAGTACAGTTGTTCACGACTTACGCAGAAACAGGACCAAAAGCAATTATGAAAAGCCACAAACGGAAAGGCCTTGTTGAGAAGAAGTGCCCATGTCTGCGCCTGCAACTAAATCAACTTGGTCACTCCGTTGATAATTAAGGTTTGTCCGCCTGTGACGTTTTCGATTGACAAGCCTTCTGTGTTTGAAAATGGATGTCGTTCTTTCATTTTATTTCGCATTGTGAACTGTGTCACATTGGTGATGGTTATTTTTTAGTTTCATCAAAGTTCAATTTAAAAAGTCCCCAATATACTCACCGGATTTCTCCGGCAGCCACATTCTACATTTATTCCAACACGCGGTTTTCTCCACCTATATGTCGGTCTTTTCTGTATTTTCTTTTATTTCCGTAGTTCGTGCCATGATGTATGCTTTTGGGGATGATGAGAATCCACTACCGGAAACTGTGGCCGTCCTCGAAGAGATTGCAGTCAAGCACATC